GAAGATGGTAAGAAACCGAAATACAAAATTTAAAGCATGGAAATAAAATATTAACAATAATGCAGAGAGAGAATCAGAAAGAATAAAAAAAAAAAAACATCTGGAGATAATATCGACAAATATAGGAACAACGAAAAAATTGAGGAAAATTAAGGAAGGAGAAACCTAAATAGAAAAATCAGAATGTAAATATGAAGAAAGTTGTACGGAGAATGAAAAAAAGAAAAAAGAATAAAATCAAAAGTACTAACTAAAATAAACAAGAAACTCAAATGAAAACAACGTATGGGTTGAATCCACTGCGAGATATCCGGACCATTATGGAACGTGACAAAAGATGAACCCAGGAACCTGTTAAACAAAATATGATGACAATATCGATTATATAGAGATATCAGAAGTCATAAGGTGTGACAAGTCGGAGGCCTATGGATAAGTAGAGGAAAGATCATGAGACAAATGGGATCGTTCTTAAAATATCATGAAACAAACGGAATCGGCCCTAAAAGCCGCTATAATCTAATCTTAGAAAGCACAAAAACATGAAAGGAATACAATTATATAGACATCTTAGAAATTGAGGTAGTGCCAGTTGAATCTACATGGACATATTGAGTGAGATATCACCTAAATACTGATACTGAAATGTTTTTGACAGCGGACAAAAAACATAAAAAGGAAATGTCAATAATCAATCCCCCAAAGCGACATAAGACATGCCTGCGGAGTATTGATCTACAGAGACAGCACAATAAGGGGCCATAGAATTTGTACACATTGAAAATACTCCGAAAGTAATTTCTCTCCCATTTTTCCACATCTCTCTCTCTCTCTCTCTCTCTCTCTCTCTCAGGTTTTATTAAACGTCCAAGTAGAGTTTATGTCATGGATTCAGTAGAAAGTAGGGTTTTATGGGAGAGATTTGTAAACCCCGCGATAAACATATTTTGAAATCAGATTCGTTAAATTCAGATTTCAGTTTGATTCATGGGTTAAAAACAAGGCGAGAATGAACAGTAGGCCATGGTATTTCGCCTATAACATGGGAACCTGATTATGGAGCTATACATTTCCCAAACTTAGGAAAATTGCTCCCCAGTAGAATGTGCAAATCATTACTCTTTTTTTCATATATACGAATGGTATATACACACAACAGAATCTGCCCTAAAGAATGAAACGCATATTCTGAGACTTACAGATAGAAACGTGGAAATTTGTCCCAATAGAAGACCCGATGTGGTGTTACTAAAAAACGTACAGAATCATTTTTTCGGGGGGGGGGCTCCAAAATAAAATGTGTAAATCTCTAAGAAAATGATATGTATACACTAGATTCAAGAATTTTTTTGAATATGTTAGTATCAGTCGGGCTTGTCTTGTGAAAAAAAAAACAAAAAAAAGCACCAGGGATAGAAATTAGAGATGACTTTTGAAAACAGATCTCGGCTCTATGGTTACTAATACTAATGATCTGACGGAAGAGATGAAGCGTCATATTCGACTGGCATTTTCAGTATCTGAAAGGCTTTCCAAACTTGTTTTTTGAAAAGAAATTTCAAAGCAGGTTTCCGGTCCCTTCTAAAATATTTTCATACATTTTCATTCCCGGTAGCCGCTGATATCTGAGCGGAATTATCGACTTCCTGGGCAAAATGATTACAAAAAAAATAACGAATCAAAAATTGCTATAACAATAAAAAAAATAAGAAGGAATATAAAAAATGCGTAAATATCTAATCGTTATAAGAGAAGATAACATCATTTATATTACGAACATGAAGCAGACACGTCATTGAAACGACAAACAAATAAATAATAGGTGTAAAACAATGTCCTAATATGATATTCATACAACCTACAGCTGACGCTTTTCGTGTATTCTTGTCATAAAGGAAATGTAGATAATTTTCATATTGTTCGGTGTATTTTCAGATCAGATTGCAAATGTCATTATCTACCTTGAATGATGGTTTATATATATTTAGTTTGCTAGTATTAACATCGGTTGTAAAACAGAATATTTCGATATTTGTATTTGTCTGCTTATGTAATACTATTTCGTAATCTATCTTGCTGAGTTTGTATTTCGTAATTTGTCTTGCTAGATAACATTTTTGTTTACTTAACGTTTATATTTAAAAAAAAAATATTAATTTTTTCGTAGCGTCTTAAACACCTAAGTCATATAATACATACGTGCATTATATATGTTCCAAATGTTGTCATCCCCGGGAATGATAATGGAGGCAAGCTTCCACTGTCTATAAAATTATTCTGTGACAATCGTCTCAATAGCCACTGATAACTTTTTCTGTCGAAGAATGGGCCAAGGCAGAAAATTATTACTTGTAATAATCTGATTCGGGTGGATTGTGCCCAGCAGGCCAGGATGTCAGTCCATCTAGCGGAAGGAAAACCATGATTTTAATCCTTCACTGCCTTACAGTCATGTCACAGAAAATAATATGGAAGTAAATAAAGACAGAAAACTTGGAGTGGTGTACCGAAAGCGGTTGGCACTTCAAAAGTGATATCGTCCGGCAACAACTTTTTGAGAAACTCCTAGGGGCCTAATCAACGTGGAATTGGTTCAGCAGCTCTCATTGCAGGACCGTGTCTCAGATAAGCAATATGGATTTTGTTTCTTCAGGTCAACTGCTGATGTACTGACGATAATTGCGGAAAGAGTCTATCATACTCTAGATAAAAACGGTTAAGCCCGGACTGTAGCTTTGGACATCTCGAAATCTTTCAAAAAGTTTGGCATACAGGTCCACAAGCTGAAAAGTTATGGTGTCTCCGGACACATTTTTGAACAGATCCAGTCTTTCCTATGAAATCGCGGACTAAAAGTTATCCTGAACGCTCGTTTTCGTACAAAACCAGGTGTCCCCCAACGCTAAATCCCTCATACTATTCTGTTTTTAATTTATATTAATGACATTCCCGATTATATCAGCCCACAACTTGGCATCTCAGCTGGCGACATAACCATTTACTCCAGTCTCACTAGTAAGGTTAATCAGTCTGACAAGATCAAAATGGCAGCCAAACGTCCAAAGCGACCTCCAGTCAGTTGTTAAATGGGGCAAAAAATCCGTTGTTAATTTTAACATCTCCAAAACTAAACTTCTATTCATTAATCATCGGAGAGACTCCTCTCTGCCTTCCATAAGACGGGCTGATGCTAACCTTCATGAAAGTGACACGTTGTTTCCTCATGGGTTAAAGTTCTAAGGTGACATGAAGTGGAAAGATTATTGAATGCCTTGCTACATCAGCTACCAAAAATGTCCGTTCCCTTCTGACGTGCGAGACACGTTTTTCTTTCCAGAATCTATCTTACATATCTATAATTATACCATTTGTCCATGCTTAGAATACTGCAGCCCCATATGTTCTGCTGCCCCTTCTATTTAAACAGAGCTCTATTGGACCTCATCTAGCTGTTGTTTTCAGTCAATTTCCCGCTTCCTTAAGGTTGGCTCTGTACATTTTTTATAAATACGTTCATGATAATTGTTCAGATAAGATCTTCGATATGGTACGTAGATTTCATGAATTTATGCGCAGTACTAAACTAACTCTGAGATCTCATCAATTTAGCTGGTTAGATGTACCCGTAAATACTATGCTAACAGTTACTTTTCTCGCACCTTGTTTGTTCAACACCCTATCGTCTCCATGATTTCAGGTCAAATTATTCTACAAAAAATAAGGGTAATGCCACTCTCCATCTACATATCTCCCCATTAGTCTTTTTCAGTTTTTTATCCTTCACAATGTTCCTTTTCCTAAATCTAATTCACTCTTTGCATCTTAGTGACTATACTACCTTCCTTGGGAAGAAATTAATTAAAAAACTGTTGAAACTTGACTAATGCATGGAATAATAATGCAACACAAAATGTACTTAGAACAAAATGTATTGAAACAAGAAAGTGTACACAATATTTACATATAGTCTTTTGTATATTCCTGGTAAGACCGTTCCTGGAGAATGTGTTGACTGAGTCGCAGTCGGGCAGAGTCTCTGGTTGAATCTCTTGATTCCCTCCTCTCTTCCCGGTACCAACCATATGGTCGGCACTCCACTATGCAAATTAGGTGGATCCTACCACAACAAAAACAAACACACATTAGTTATTAAGTGCAGTCCTTCCCGGAAAATGTAGCTTTTGTATGTTACCTATGAGTGACATTGTAACACTACTAAATTTGATGAGTAGAAAGATTTAATGGTATTGAACTATTTTACGATGTATAACGCGAATGAAATCTACATTCATTATTTAATGATGGAATATTTATTTTGAATGAGAAGAGAATTAATGCAGGTAAGGGGGTATACTCAGTTGGTTGAATAATTATGCAAAGAATTTAAATTTAAAATTTTGGTAGTAACGCCGGAAACATTTGCATCAACCTAATGTTTATATATTTTAACATAAAAACTAAATAGGAAAAGATCTAGTGCATAAAGCTTATGCAGAATTATCAATATGTACTAATTTATATATGCCTTTATTTCCGAGAAATAAATTCTAGATTATAAGATCGGCGTCAGAATGTAATGTCATAAGCATTCGGAAAATATAGATTCAATTTTCAAATGGATAGTAAGCTTCATTTCCATTATATAAACCATTAAATAAATTGAAAACCCTGGCGATATATATATATATATATATATATATATATATATATATATATATATTTATTTCATTCTCCAAACTTTCTCTCTTATTGACGTTCACCGAAATATCATAATTTTATTTCTGTATGTGTACATAAATTATTTCTTTGAAGTTAGCTTTTGTTGTAAACAAATGCGGGAATATTTAAGTGAAATGCTTTATTCTCATTTATTAATCGGATCAGCAATTGTGCATGTGTGTTTATGAATTTATATGCTATGAGAAGGAAAGTAATTTTGTTATCGTGGAATTGGAAATCTAAATATTCGAGTAATGCAACGGATATCGTCATAGAAGTCG